AAAACATATATAAGGATTGGAACGAAAACGTTATGGTATAATAACATGTTCCTCCTTTAACGTTGTCCACCCATTACTTTTTGTCCGTTGCTTGTTTGAAATAAAAATATGACCTAATACGTTACTATCAACAACGTTTATACTAATTTTGTAAAGTTTCAAAAAACATACTCCCTCCGTTTCACAAAAAATGACCTAGTTTGACTTGGCACGGAGTTTAAGTAAATAAAAAAGACTTTTGAATCTTGTGGTCCTAAATTAAAGTTAAGTCAAATGTACAAAATTGCCCTTAATCTTGTGGTCTTAAACATGCCACGTGGAAAGCAAAAAGTAAATTGTTACCAAAAGGAAAGAGGTCATTCTTTTTGAAACTGACTAAAAAGGAAAGGAGATCATTCTTTGTGAAACGGAGGGAATACTATTTTTGTAAATTTATTTAAATAATAAGTTATTTTGGTAAAAAATATCGGTAAGAAAGGGAGGCCTAGAGAAATACAATTTTTATCAAACTAATCCATTATTTAAAGCAATTCACCAAAATAAAAATTTATAAAACTAGTATAAACGTATTTCAAAGTAATGTTTTAGGGTATATTTTATTTTAAAAAATTCAGTTGTGTAAAATATTGTTGTTGATGGTGTTAAGGTAAAAAATGTTAATGTGATTAACGTTTTATGCTAAAAACATTACTCTCAATAACGTTTTAAGAATTTAACGCAATCTAGCCCCACGTCCATTATTTGTTACCCCATTCAAATAAACAATGTCATTTTTTATTACTTCGTATACATGTTATTTCAATTTAAAACTCATTCACCTAAAATCATTATGCACCTGTGATTTGAGAAATTTCAAGCCGTTATGCACCTGCGATTCAAGAAATTTCCAGCCCTTATGCACGTGCGATTCAAGAAATTTCCAGCCCTTATGCACCTGCGATTCAAGATTGTCCAAGGCCTCAAGATTAATTGAGAAATTTATGGTTCAACTCTTGATGATATCAGAAGCTCGGTATGAAGTGCTATCGGAAGCTCGTTATGAAACTCAATTTCTTCTAAAACAACTTGATTTCAAAGTATGAAGTGTTGTTTGATTGTTAGAATGACAACATAATGGGAGTATATCAAAGAGAAGGAATTAGGTCAAAATCTCATTTGATGAATAAATTGTAGCTCCCGTACTTCAATCAATTTTAGGGCTTTTCTCGTACTTCCATTTCGTCCAAGACTTGAATTGTCACGATCCAAACCATCGTGATTGGCACCCACACTAACCCTCCGGTGGGAGAACCATTAATACTAATTAGCTAACCAACTTAATCAAAATACTAAAACATTTAAGTTATGGAAGCAAGTTAAATGCTAAGGAAAGAAATAGAACTAATAACAACTAACATTACAGAAGTAATGCCTAGAACCTGAAAGTCAATGTACCAAAACATCTAACAATGAACCAATAGTCTAAATAAGAAGGGTTACAACCCCAAACTAACGAACTATCACTAACTAGAAAAGTCTAAGTCCGAAATGTGGACATAGACGAAGGAGAACTCATGGCAGCCCGAAAGAATTGGCTCACCCTTGAATTCGAAAGTGATCATTGATCTTTTAAGCGAGGTCTGTCAATAGCCGTCTGAAGATGCCTTGTACTCAACAAAAAAAAAAGCAAGTGCAATATCAATACACAACCACAGTGTACTGGTAGGATCACGGGGAAATCCCACTAAGTGCAACATACATAAGTCAATACAACAATACAACAACATGCATACACCGAACATATACAATAATATCAACATTTACCAACAACGAACAATTTCACGATTCTCAAACATCACAGTTATATCAAGTCATTGGTCCTCTCATGGAACCCAAACTATTAGTATACCGGAACGTGGTACCCGAACCAATGATTATTGTTCAACACGCACTGGCCCCCATTTTTTAACTTTCTAAAAAGACAAGCTATCAGTTCAAAAGTAGCTTTTACACTTCCCAAAATTTCATCTTCCTTTTTGAATTTCAACTTTACCAAAAGGAACAAGAGAAAGAACAATTATCTTCAAAAATTCAATTTTCAGACTCATAATCGATTTTCTATGTTAGATTTTGGTACTTAGTGTTTGATTTCAGTCGTGCATGTGTGGGTCGATTTCACTCGTGCATCTGTAGGTCGATTTCAGTCGTGCATTTGTGGGTCGATTTCATTATTCTAAGTCATCAAGAATCGTGGTTGAGTTCAAAGGTTAGTTTTTTCTTGATCTTTTTTTGTTTTTTTTTTTGTTACTGTTATACTTAGATTTCATAGGGGTTATGATATGTTGTTAAATATAGATTTCGATCTTTGAGTGAAATGCAACTTCATGCTTATTTTTTAGGGTTTATGGAGGTTTGTTTTTTCAAAAGATGAAAAACACTCTAATAAAGAAGAAGACATATGAGTTGATGAGGTTTCTTTTTTCAACTTTATTTTAATACGTGGCCAATTTTTATTGGTCAGTGTTGTCTAAAAATAGCACCCACACGCCTAACTTAGGTGAAGTCACGGACTCAGCCACGTAGGCCGAAAAGGGGTAGGAAATTATTTATAAAATAAGTTCAGGGAGAGGGGGGGGGGGTAATAGGACCTCAGTATAGTTTAGGTGTGTCTCTGGGATTTCGGGGATAGGTTGGAAAGGGGGGTACTTATGCATTTTCCCTTATAATTTAACAAAATATTTTATATTTTATTTATGAATGATATATAAATAATGATAAAATTTAGGCAAATTACTCAGATAGGCAAACATATACTAGTTAATTAGCTAATATAACAATAGTTTGAATTAATTACCACCATATACTAGTTAATTAGCTAATATAACAATAGTTTGAATTAATTACCACCATATACTAGTTAATTAGCTAATATAACAATAGTTTGAATTAATTACCACCATATACTAGTTAATTAGCTAATATAACAATAGTTTGAATTAATTACCACCATATACTAGTTAATTAGCTAATATAACAATAGTTTGAATTAATTACCACCATATACTAGTTAATTAGCTAATATAACAATAGTTTGAATTAATTACCACTCACAACCTCTTTTTAGCTATAATTATGTGCACTTCTCTCCGCTCTTCCTCTCATGCCTCTCTCCTCTCTTATAAATATACAAATATAAATTATACATGTATAATTATATGACAAATATACAAATACTATTCGCATATCTCCACTCTCTGACCTCCCTCGCTCGCCTCTCTCCTCCCTCTTCCAATCTCGTGCCAGATATACAAATACAATTTACCTCTCCCACTCTCTCGCTCGCCTCTCTCCTCCCTCTCCCAATCTAGCTCACCTCTCTCCTCCCTCTCCCAATCTAGCTCGCCTCTCTCCTCCCTCTCCCAATCTGGCTCGCCTCTCTCCTTCCTCTAATATGTAGCTCCGAATCGTAATTAGCAGACTATAACTATGTAGCCTAATTAAATTGTTTTTAGTGACTATTTACGAAATTTCCCCAATTTTATATCTATATAATTTCTCGATTCGATTTGATTATTTTGTGATTTTCTTAATAAAATTAAAACCCAAATCAAATAGTATTTTAATATTTAAAATTTAAAATCAAACTTATCCAAATCAAACAAAATATTAACTTTTTAAATCAATTTAATTTAAATTGCCATTAAGTTTGATTTTTTAACCGTAAACTGAGTAGCCTAGTTGCAGTACATAAAAAGAGGAAGGACATGTAAAGCCTCGGAAAAGAAGAAGAAAAGGGGGGACTATAACAGTCAAAATTCGTAAAACCCTAATCGGTAGCCAATTTCCAATATGGAAGGAATACAGAAGGCTTTTCGTAGTGCCATGTCTCAGGCTGATCCAAATGGCAGTTTCAGTTCCATTTCATCTGCTCTTGAAAAAGCACCCATTACATCTTCTGCTTCTGCTGCTTCTGTTTTGTCGGCTGATCACTCACAGCTTTTGCTTACTCGATCTTCCAGGTTATTTTCCCCTTTACTTTCCCAGTTTGCTCTTTACCTGCGTTTATTTTACTTATTTTTTTAATAATAATTTGACCTTTGCCGATCATAACAGTGTAATTACTAGGTGTTACACATGACCCTTTTTCTTTTTCAACTCAATTTGATCCATTACGATTGTGGCTTTTGGGGAATAATTATGGTATGTTGTGAATTGTGATGTCATTCAAGATTAGGAGCTTGTAGTTTGGTTCCCTTACTTTTTTTGGGGGATGAACTCATAGAAACCTTCCAAGTTTTGCTAGGTGTGGTCTAAGATATCTGAACTTAAATGGTGCAGAAGTAGGTCGAAGAACACCAAGAACCTGGCTCTAGATTTTTGTATTGTTAATTATAGATCTTAGTATTGTTGCAGAAAAAGAAATGTAAGTTTTTGAGTTGCTTGATAATCGTAGTATCCGTGATATGTATGAGAGAAAGGGGTCAAATGAGTATCCGAATAGATATAATAGTTTTTATCAGACCGGTAATGAGATAGCTTGACATAAGGTCTTTAATTAATAAGTACATGTGTTTATATGGTAGAAAGATGTACCTAGACTAGAAATCGAGATTGAGGATCTGTGCATTTTCATCTAGTATTATCACCAGCTACCACTACTGATGGTCAGGTCCACATTTTCGGTGCTGAACTTTTAAATCTATTTTATTTGAAACCCAAGCTAAGTACATCATAGCTTTTGTTAGTATAGTATCCTTGTTGAAATGTGACTAATGGAAATTATTGACACTCTCATGGTAAAGCTGTACATCTTCTATTGTAGACAAGCAGTATCACTGTGGACTTGCTCAAAGCTCTGTGCCATTTGTTTTGTTGCTGGAATATTTGTCGGTTATACACTGAAGCGTCGTGTACGCCGATGGGCTTCCAAATTTCTCAAGGGATTGAAGGACTAACAAGTTTTGGATACTTCCAGTTTCTGATTGTAATTTCATTTTCCATGTAGGTATCGTATCATATTGTACTTTTTCTGGCCATGATATACAAAAGTCTTTTATGGGTTTTTGCTGCATAAGCACTGAATCATATCTATTTCATTGTTTCCCAGTGTTTGATACAAACAGAATTTATCGACTTTCTTCAGTATTCTTTATTGACAGCCCTCTTCCATCTGTAATATCTGATATATCATTGGACCTTTTTTGACAACATAAAGAAAAAGATAGAAACAAATACACGAGACAGTTTATTTATCTTGGAGTACGAAAATAATCTTTTCTATCACTGTTCAGGAAACTTGATAGGTATAATTGCCTTGTAATAGCTTGATTTGTCATTTACTCGGTGCTCATCAAGCAACATCATACCACCTTCGCTTTCTTTTCCTTGTTACTTCATTCTCTTGCCTCATTTTCTTTAATTCTCCTCTTCATTCTCACACTTGCAGCTTAGTGGTATTCACAAATGCACTGAGGATGTCATATACCATTCTTCACACCCTACGGCCTACACATAGGTGCATAGTAATAATATTGGCTGTATGTATTTGACACTGTAACGACAAACATGATTGCTTTCTTGTGTCAGTAGAAAAATCTTTTTGTGGAGATTCCCAAAGGACAAATAATTACATTCTCCTATAGATAGAACTCACTATTTTGACTTCTTTCTCTATTGTAACTCGTATAATATATGCATCTACATTTCTCTGGATCGTGTAGTGGTACATTCATTCCCCTTAATCATATGGACAATTACAAAAAATGAAAAGAAAAATAAAGAATACCGTGTCACTTATTTGCTAAATTTGCTATTTCAAAAGTACTCTTTGTGGAACTCAAATCGTGTGGTTGTCTTGTAAGTCAATTCTTGTGATAGCTTCTTCAATTCCTTTGCCAAGGCAGGCAACCCACAGTAGAAGACTCCTGTGAATCACATAGAACTGTGTTGTTAACCAATCTATTAAATATCTTCTTCCTTTTAGTTTTTTTTTCCCTCCCCTCTTCAGTTGAAGTGAAAAATATTATCTGGGAAGTGCCCTGTTGGAGGCTTCTTCCTTTTAAATGGTCATTGTCATGAAGTTTGAGTTTTTTTTTTCCTTTCTGAAGTTTAAAGAACACATTTTCATCTCATTTGTTACACTCTTTAGGTTCCTTCGAAAGATAAATTAAGATTTATAAAGCCGTACTACTTCATCATGCAAATGTATTTTAGAGCTATATTTTCTATCTTCATCTAGTAAAAAAGCATGCCATTCTTATAATTGGTAATGTTGCTGCATCATTATGTTCTGCTTCATGTTTCATTTGTTTGATTATACATATTTAATTTCTTCCTTCGCCTCTATTATGTGATAATTTCCGTTGGCAGGAGGTTTGGACATATTGTAGAAGTGAGAGGTTACAAATAGGTATGACACAACACTTCTTAGAACCACATGTGCTTACAGTTTATTAAAGTTTAGGTTGTAGGAATTTTTTACCTACTGTGGAATATGGATGTTTTGAAGCAATTTTGTTGAATACTTCCTTCCAGTTGGGCCTTGCGAAATGTGTCCTTACCTGCAGTAGAATTAGTTTAATTAGTACTGGGGGTGGAGTATAGTTCACCTCTAGTTTGCTTCTCTCTAATCCTGTTGTGGTTGAAAACTTTTCATGAAATTAAGTAGCTTTTGAATAATAAAGCTTTTTTCTAGCTAGAACATGGCGCTCATTGAGCTAAGCTAAAATTCCGTACTTCATTATATTTCTTTTCCATTTCTCTTCAAGAAGGTTTGGTTGAGAGTATTGATGGATTATACCTGAGTGCCGGACAGGATGTCAACACCATGTTTTGCATGGTTGAGCGCCTGGACCATGGTGATGAGAGTTGACCTGGCATCACCCTCTTCATAAACACTAGTAAGATAATTGTGCATCTCTATCAGACCCTGTTTCATTTAAATCATCAGAAAAGGTATAGCTGAGTCAGTTACTAATATATCATAGCAGAATACTTGATAGGATGATAAAGGGTGGGGAGGGGTGGGCACTTAAAAATATCCTGTAACAAATTTCTGTACATTACTTTGTGATCCATCTCGGCCACTTCATTCATCACCCCTTTAAACCACTCAAAGGATCCTGGTTCTCTGGTAACCCAATAAAAATGTGCACTTTTTGTCCTTAGTGATTTCTTTTTTCCAGTTGATGCGATGCTTGAAGAGGCAAGACTTGTCCAGCTGTCATCCGAAGCGCTGGTTTCGGTAGTCGAATCCTAAGGTAGAATCACAGGCAAAGAGACTGTAAGTTGGGGCTTTTAACATTCTACCTGGTTAGTTCCAAATTAACTTGAAGTAAGATTTGTACCAGTTCTTCTGATCTTGAATTGTTCAATAGATCTTTTAGGATACTTATAAAAGGCGTAGCTCCAATACCTAGTCCCACGAGGAGCAATACATCATAATTTTGATAGTCCTGTGCTGGGGCACCATATGGTCCATCAACAAGCAATCGAGGTAAACTGCGTCATTACAAGCCCTTTAGACTTCTTAATAAGGAAATCTTGATATGTTTGACTGTTTAAAAATCACACAAAGGAAGTTACCCTCTTTGATCAACATTCCCACGTTCTCTAAACTTAGCCCGCCCTATTTCACATGCTGAACTATCATCCTCAGTGAATACCCGCTTAAGTTCATTGGTCCAATCACCTACCATGCGAATGTGAACACTGAGGTAGTCATCTCCTGGTGCTGATGTTATAGAAAATGGATGCCTGGAGAAGCATCAAGATATGTGTTAAATATCTGTTGGTCGAGGCATGATTGACTTAAATGCAGAAACACTGCACTTACCATTCAAATGAGGAGATTGTTGGGCACTGCAGGAATATGTATTGCCCGCTCTTGTATTTGAAACTATTAGGCTTTGACATGGTAAGGCTAAAGACATCTCCTGGAAGTACAGAAACCTGTAAGGATCAAAGAAAAACCATCTTCATTGGTTTCCTGTTTTGTTCCTTTCCTTCTCTCCCTGCTACCATGTTTATCTCAGTATGTTTTATTTGTTTCTTTACTACTGTCTTGGGGTTGGAGGCTGTAGGAACCAGATGCTTATATCATCTCTAGGAATGTAGGGAATGCAATTAAATACTTAGAGAAAGACTACCATAAGTCATTGACTTTATTTATGTTAAGGGTAGCCTTGGCATAACTAGTAAAGTTGCCTCAGCGTGACCAGGAGTTCACAAATTCGAGCTGTGGAAACAGCTTCTTGCAGAAATGCAAGGTAAGGATACGTACAGTAGACCCTTGTGGTCCGGCACTTCCCCGGACCCTGGCATAGCGGGAGCTTAGTGCACCAGGCTACCCTTTTTTCCCCTCTTATCTCTCGACTTTGAGTTTGCTTATGGTAAATTTTCACACTGGACTTAGTTCCATATTGGAAGGTTCTAAAAATTGTTGGGGTGCTGGTGGTTGGAGTGCGAGTATTTGATTGATTTATGTTGGTGCTCGATGGACATGTTTACGATGTTACACAGTGGACATATTTGATGAAATAAGAGAAACTCTTCTTCTTAGGGAAGTAGCTGATTGAATATATGGTTTTGTGGTGGTGTTTGGATGGTTTCATCTGTCTATATGTGTGAACCTCAGTGTGTGTTGATTGAGGGTTGTAGAGGGAGGCTAGAAGCAGATGTTGATTGCAGCTTATTGGTATGCGGAAAAGGAGTCTAATTTCTCTATAGATGGAAAAGTAGATTGATAAAGCAAGTCACCTTCAAAATTTTTGCTGCGTAGTGTTCTGATCGGCATGTTCTCAAACTCCTCTCTGCTACATAGAGGAGCAACGGCATGGAGATGTACATCCATGTCTGCAATATGGGAAATAAATTGTCAGCATACCCCATGTTTAGTTTACATAAAGCAATTTGGTGTTCTATCTATGCCCTTACTGTTTTCTGCCACCATTGGTGAACCAAGAATACAAATGTTCCATGTACCAGTAGTAGTACATAGACCACTGCTAGAAGGTGATGAGAGTACCAAAATGCATTGAAGCCTGTTAATCGACTGAAAGGAGGTGGTAGCTTCAATACATTTCTCCTGAAGCTGCTTGTTGCTAGTGTGAAGACAATTGCCATCAAAATCACCATAGCAATGCCAGTGACGCCTTCAATACCAGTCAATAGACTTTTGAAAGTGGGCTTTACGTTGTCAAAATCAGAAGCTATCAGTGCAAACTTTTCAGGAGATGAGTTAATCAGACGAGGAAAATCACACGCTAAATGGTTCACTGCATGAAGCAAGATTCCAACTCCAATAGCATATGCAATAATCTGCAGTTGAAACAACATCATTAAGAAAATTCCAGGAAGGTGAACAATGTACTCTGTTTGGGTGCAGTTTACCTTGTGAAAATTGATATTATCATCAAAAGGAAGGACGAGCTTGGCCCTAGTAGACCGTAACCAAGTTAAAATGTTTCGACAAACTGGTAGAAGAATAAGTGCCATGTTGAGCTTGAGAGTCTCTGCAGCTCCTTTAGCAGTAGCCAAGCAGTAACCCATAACTTGAAATGCTGCTCTTCGTCTATACTGCAAGAATTTCCAGGTGAAAAGTCCAGCCATAATCATCACCCATAGCAAAAGAATCCAGCCTCTTTGCCAGTTATCTAATACAAGGCATTTAAATGCATAACTTGCTCTCTTTACTAGGTTCTTGGTCTTATTAAGAGTTCCTAAATTTTGACCCCATCCAACACTTGTTGTGCTTAAGGGTCTGCTGTAGGTCATGTAATTGTCCCTTTGCAGAAGAAGCGTTTCCAACTGCCATAACTGTAAAGGAAAAGAGAATATATCAAGTCGTTTTGCCAAACCAATTTTCAGATTGAAATGACTTTTGATAAATATTAGAAGTGTCCTTAGAGTTTGCGGTTTTTTTTTATAAACATGACATGATATTTCAATAGTTATAAAATATGTCATTCTTCTTTAATAATATAATTACATGTCCTTTTAAGAATAATTAAAAGGAATGATTGTATATTATAAATATATTTGAGATAATATTTAGTGTTAAATTCAATTATTTTTTCTTCAACAACGTTCTTGTGGTCCCCAAAGTCCAAATACAGTGCTCGAGGATTCCCTATGTTTTGACTTAGACGTAGTCGACTAAAAGAAGTTCGTGCTAAACACTTATTCAGAATAATAAAATAAAAAGAAAAAAGAAGTTTGTGGGTCCGGATATGTACAAGTCGTGGTATAGACAAGACGACCGACAGCTACTAACAGAAACGTATAATTGATCAAATCTAGGTTTGGTAATTTGGTTATAAATAATCAGATAATTTTTATTTTATAAATTGCTGTGTAAAAAGATATTTATAATATAATGTCACGTAAGTATTGATAATTTCATATGATAAATTTTAAGATAAAAATGGTAAGTGACTTGTTAAAATAAGTTAGAAGATAATGTTACCTCAATGTAACCAAGACATTCAGGGTCTAATTCCTCCATAATTAAAGAAGCATACTCGGCTGCACGTTCCTTCAACTTGGACAACTTATTTGCCGAAGCACTCAGCATGATTAGCTGTTGGAAGAACAAAATATAAAGGGAATACCATAACAAATCAATCTTTGAGGGAAAACTATATTTATTACTACTATTTAATAAATATTCCTCCGCCATTAACGTATTCTTTTCTGTTCCACAATACTATAAAGTAATATTATTAATAACTAAACACGAAACTAATGCTTTTGCGAATTATTGAAGAAGCCCCTCTCTGCCCCTAATGGATTTTGCACAAATAGAATATGGTTTGACTTTAAATTTTAACTTCTTTTTTTCAGTTTTATTGTTTTTGTAGTTAACCCATGATAATCTTACCTCTTGAACTTCATCTCTCGTGATTTTTCCATCTCCATTGCTATCCGCCCTACATGTAAATATCATTATCAAGTAAAATATTAAGACGAGTATATATGAAATAACAAATTATATCAAGATGAAGCGGTCTAAAGGCAAACCTTCAAAATCAAAAATCAAAATATATTGGATTTGATGTGCTATATCTATAAGGCAAGCGAGTCAAAATTCAAGTTTAGCCCTCTCCAAAATCATACACGAGGAGATAAATTACACCACAATGATTATTTTTTTTTACGTAAAACAAAGAAGTGGACCAATCATAACTGATTAACATGGTATAATAGTTTAAGCACACTGATATGTCTTTATCGTGTTAGTTTATAACTTTAATTCTTATTTCAGATATAGGACAAAAAAGAGTTGCTTTTCCGTGTTGAGAATTGAGATTAATAATAATGCATGCTTTCGAACAAAGTGGACAAAAAGGAAAGAGAACCCACATGTCAAAGAAAATCTGAAGCCTAGCATCAAAACTTTGGTCAGAAATCTGTAACCAAAAATCATGAAGCTCAATTTTGGTTATCTTCGCCGCTTTTTGACGCCGCCGCCGTATCAACGCATCGAAAACCCCAACTGCAAATTCTTTCGAATCCACCATTCCTGCACATGCACCGTTCAGCAGTATATAAAATATACAGTTAAAACTAATTTCATGCATGATTTTACAAAAAAATAGCAGATGGCATTCATATGGTTTACATGATGAATTGAGAACTTTGAATGTATGTACCAATGCATTCACCAAAATCTTCTCTAGCAAGTAATCCGTCTTTCGCCAAAGCATGAAACCGCGCCTCCACTTTTTTCCAAAGCACATTTGTGTCAGATTCGCCAGTTGTTTTGCTTATAAATCTCAATCCACCAAGCGCACGCTGAGCCGTTGATTTACTTCTTACTAGTTTCAATTTCGATTTCATCTCCTCTCGTGCAGATAAGGTGTTTGGCTGAAAATTATCATCGGAGACTTCTGATGCTGCCGCCGATGTCCGTGACATCACCGACGGCGATCGGATCCACGAGAATTTCCGGCGGAGTTTGGAGGCCGCCGATGCACTACGAGCCAGAAATCCGTTGGGCGGTGCTTCGTCTTCTCCTTCTTCACTACCTTCATCATTAATGTGTGATGGTGTTGGTGCTACGCTACACAAAACAATTGAATTATCATCCAATTCAAGCGTAACTTCCACTAAATCATTATCGTTGTTTCTCCTCAAATCATTGAGAAAAATCGGTAACATTGCTCCTCCGACATACTCCCCGCCGGTATCCAACGGCACCACTATTTCCTCCGGTAAGTCAAAATTCCTACTATAACTGGATCGTTTTGAGCTGCAGCTGCCCAATGATGATGACCTCAGAAATGATTTCAACTGCATTATTTTCTTTCTTCTGAAAAGATCGACAAGTAAGTAACACCGAAATCTCCCTTATTTCTTGCAATGCAAACTATATTTCTTTAATTTAAAGCTTAAATTTAACAAGAGAGAAAAGAAAAAAGCTTAGACGATCACACGGTTCGTTCCGGAATGTTGTTAAAACAAACACCTCTCAACCGATCTCTGAACACGATTTCAACGCTTTGCCTCCAGACTCTCTCAATTTCAATTTCACATTGGTTCCATGTAGAAAAAATGATAGAGAGAGAAAGAGAAGAGGAAAGAAGAGAGTTGTTGGGGTTTGTTCAAGAAAAACTCTATAAAGAATAGCTTCCAACTTAATAAATATAACTAAATTGTACTACTAATATATTATTTATTACTCACTAAATAGAAAGAGAACTATTTTATGAGAAATTACTGGTAAACTATCGTTGTACATTCCTAACATAATACCCACTACGTATCTACCATTTTCTTTATTAAGATGTACTTGGTTAATTCTTATTAAGCATTATGGTTTTCTACTAATGATATTGCTATTTTAATTAAGAATTTAAGATGAAAATGTAATTTATGTGGTTGGCTCCTTATTTGAACACGACATGCGAATTTAACCAAGTAGGTGAAACGTGGGACAATGTTACCTCATTTGATTACGCCCATAGAATTACACGTCTCTCACAATAAAAATAGATGTTGCTCTCTATCATATAATAATATTCCCCGCATCAAATTATCTGTCATATTTTTTTTATATGCATTTCAAGAAAATGTTATGTAAAGAATTTTTTGATTATTTTATTTATATCTTTAAAATATTATGTCTAAATTTGTTATATAATTCTATTTACGTGTTATTATTTATGTGTTTGTAATTTACAAGAACAATAACTATTATGGATAAACTAAAAAAATATTATTATTTTTTAATGAATTTTTTAAATGAAAAATAATTTGAAATAATTACTTTTAAAAACCACAATAAATAATTTGAGACAACAAAAGTAACAAATTGCATCTCTTTTCCTTCACCTTACAAATTTCAATTCTTGGACTTGTCTTTTAACTAAGATCATCATAAATTCTTAATTAAATGTCTTATTTTATTACAGGTTAATTTTTATATAAGGATCTAATCAATATCACAGTAATATATACGATCTATAATAAATGATACTTATAATATATAGTTTGTTACTCTATTCAAGTTAAATTTATTCTGTTATTGTGCAAATTATAAAATGGTGAAGCCGCCTAAGGATAATTCGAAGAAGACTTCAGCTGAAACTACGGCATATGTTGCGCCACATGGGGTTGGGGGATGGGAGGAACTTAATTAAATTCTCTATTATACTTAAGTATATCTATCTTGTAATTGAGCTGGAATAAGAAACTCTACCTAATACTCCATTATTCATATATATATATATATATATATATATGTGATGTTTTTATCTTTTCATATTAATCTAGTATATATAAGTGATGTTTCATATATTTAATAGGATATAAATTTTTTGTCATTTTATCTTTGTTTAGATGTGTGGATTTTTATCTAAATTCATAAACTATATTAAATATGTATTTCATCTGTTTCAAAATAAGTGATGCATCTATCCTTAAGAAAACTATTCATTCCCATAAAATAAGATATATTTTAACTAACTTATCCTTAATAAATATCTTGAAAAAACTGTAGCTTAATCTTTAGACATATTTTGATTATATAAAATTTTCTTTATTTTAATAAAGATAAAATTGAAAGAATATCACTAATGTCTTTTTAAAAAAAACTTATATGTAGTTTTATTTATTGATGAAAATAACAGTACATACATTAGTGCCTTTTTGATTATGTGAAACTGTGCTTATTTAAAATACAATGAAAAAGTAACAACATCACTTATTTTGAAATAAAGAAAACACTATTTAATCAAGGATAAGTCAGTAAAATAATACCTACTACTTTCTAAAAATGAATAGATTTGTTAAGGAATGTGTTCAAACTAAAAACGCCATCTTCTTATTATTATTTCCTTCGTCCTATTTTAATTGTCGCTTAAAATTTTTTCTCCTATTAAAATTAATAATAAATATAAGCTTTAATTTATTAAGTTATTTTTTTCATTAAAAGTTTTTTCTAGAACTGACCAATATTAAAAATAATTATTTCTTTAATATTAAAGAAATAATTGAAAACAATTATTAATCTTAAATTTGAATTTCTAAAATAACAACTATTTTGAAATACTATTTTTTAAAGCTAAAAACGACTATTAAAATAAGACGAAAAAAGGAGTAATAATTAAGTACTAATTTAAGACATTGTTTTTGGTATAGGGAGAGAAAAGCTAAAAAGGAACAGCCTAACTATAAGTTAGATAATTTTTAATTAAAGTCAAATTAGTGAAAACATCTCATTTACCAGTTTACTTAGTGACCTTTCCTCCAACTCTCTTTCTTTCCATGTTCCAAACATTCGTTAATCCCTTTTCCATTTTTTTTATATTCTTCAATTTGGTATTTTTAAAATTTTGTTTTTTTTGGGGGATTTCTATTTTGATTTAAAATGTTTCTTTGTTTCATGTTTTAATAGAGGGACTGAGATTTCGTACCCATAAATCATAATATATACCAAAAGTTTGGTTGGTATTAGTTTTACTAATAATTTGTCGACAATAACGTCGGAACCCCACCCCCCTCCCCCCTCCCACCTCAGAGCTAATATTATTGTTCTTATGAACATCAATTATTGAAAAAAAATATTATTCTCATATGTGTTTGTTAAAAAGAAGAGAATAAAAAAGGATTCAGATTAAGATTATTTCTTTTCCTCCTAGCTCCGATAAATTTTTTTACGACTTAGCTTATAGCGGTAATAAACATTTCCATGTATAAAAGTTTTTGAACATCTTTTAGATCTAACAACTTTCTCACTAAAACCAAACACAAAAAAAGAGTACATGATGATTGATTGGCTTTTAAGTTTTATGTACTTGTTTAAACCTAAACAGATGGTAATATGAACAAGGGGAACATAAAACAAGCTGGATTAAAAAAAAATGAAATAATAGGAACTTGAAAATATAAGGACTACTAGAACAATAAGGGACGGTAGTATGGAAAATGTTTTCTAGAAAAATGAGTCAGTGTTATTTTTTCTCTTGTATTGGTATGTAATCCAAAAATATTATTCTAAAAAAATCTGTATATAATCTAGATAAATATTATGAAGGAAATAATGGTTAGCTAGTGGGTAATCAGAGGTATGAGTGAAGATAAAGTGTGTTGAAGGATGGAAATGATACAATCATGTGAAATATCATTTGTAAAACTTGTTTTTCATGCTTCCAAAGGTTATTTTTTCTTTTTTTAAGTAACTTATTTCCCAAAAAAAACTATTTTCCAAAAACCAACAGCCATGAAAAAATTAGAAAACAATTTTTCCTCCCTACCCAACACGCCCTAAGCCACGCCGTTTGCGTTCATCCAATTTACAACCACAAGTTTGACTAATTACGAAGATCGTCTCCAACATTATTTTATATTTTACATTCTCCTAACCAGGGTGGAAAAAATAAATAAAATCTCCTAACCACGTTGTCCTAATAAAGTAAAAAAGTTACTTCTACCCTAAGTGGCCAACTGCATAAATTAACCAAATAATAGTAATTGTTACACTTAAAAAAAGAACACATATATATTTTAATCTGTTTATCAAATCAAGGAATGTAGTTAGATTTTTGTTATTACATAAAGTTAAGGAATTTAGTCAGACTAGCAGAATCGTTATATCATTTCTTCTGCTACTTAATTAATTTTTTCATATCTCACAACTAGCTATATATTCCCTCCATCCCATTTTAACTTATAATTCTTTTCATGCCTATAAAAAAAATACAAGATTCATATATTTTTTCCTAGCTAGTTCATAAAGTTAGATAATTTTTCCTGATATAATTGGAAATAATTGTGAACTTTAATTTTGAATTATTAAAATAATAATTATGCTGAAATAATTTTTTTGAGCTAAAACATAGATAAAGTAAAATGGGACGGAGAAGTATATTTATTGTAAGAGTAACATTACTCTATACATGTGCACTTTTATGTTTCTTCAAAAATTTCTTTGATTTAACTAATTCCTTATGTGCACTAATAACATTTTTTCTTCTTCAAATAATTGCGTGTCTTGTTGAAATTATCAAAACCTTAGTTTGATACACCAAATTTAAATCGTTGGCACCATTAATAATTAGTTAAATCAAACGATCAATTACTAGGAAACTCCTTTTTTGAAAACTATGTCTACCAACCTATATAATATTTTTTTAAGTATGATCCGACGACTATGCTAACTTTTAAGCATTTATTTATACTAAAAAAATACTAATACTAATATCATAGCTAGCCATAGCCAATCATATATTTAGACTAAAAACTAACAATAAAATATCATCCAGCTTTGGTATATATCCGTGTCTCCCACTCTGTGTTAATGCTACCCAATCCTTCTTATAATTAAAAGCTTTTTGTACTACAACTAATTATTATGATTCGATATAACTATTTATTTAGATGTATTTATATATATATATGTATTTGTCTGACCTTATTATGACAGCTTCTGATTTAATACCTCTTCTTTTCCTTGCCCAAAATGTGTTTTTCAGAGATACGAATTAAGATCTTTGAATACCATTTCTCGTGAAGGATCATGAATTATTCAACAATCCTTTATAACTAGTAAAATAATTTATTATATTTTCTAATTTAGAATCTATACGTCTATGTTTTAATATCATATCTTATCCTTAAAATATATATGAAAAAAACAACAACATTCATATATTACACCATCAAGAATTACGATTTAGATAATGGATAGAATCCCTTTAATTAGTCTTAGATCTTAACTAGAGATCTTAGATTCGAGCCTTTAAAAGTGACGTTATCCAAAATATAAGTACTGGACAACAAACAAAAATAAATCACACATAGTAATTAATTAGTCATAGCTAGCTTATTACCTGGTTGTAATTCGTCACGAAGGCTTAATGGTTGAACGATAATATGGCCTTCGACTTGAAGGGTAACAATGAGAGAACCATGATCATGATCTAAATAGTTGTGAATAAAATGCGTAGCAAAGTTAAGCTAAAGGTCGTGCTGTACTTTCCTTCTAGAAAGTTTACCAAAACGTACTACAATTCTACTGTTGGTACACCACATCAATTAGAGACCAAGATACATCCACATCGTTTTTTTTTTTTTTTTGCTTTAGGTTATGTTCAGTGA